AGAGTAAGATCGCGAATCACGAAGTAAATCGAATAGAGAATCGACCGCGCGAGGACACGCGAAAATTGAAATATAAACAGAAGAATCGCGTAAGTACAAAGGACACTGCCCAGTAATGAGAGAGACAAAGACAATTTCGAGACATCGCGAGATACTGAAAATCGAGCTAAACGGGAGCGAACAGTTTTAAACTAACCATGGACGTAACCACACAAACGGAGAAAGGACCGAAAGGACGAGCCCTCGAGGCCCGACCATACGCGGCGGTAGGCACGAAAAAGAAACGGGACAACCCTCCGCGAGATAAGAAGGTAAAAAGATAGGCCGCGAAAATGCAGAATCAATACAAAGACAACATAACAAGACAGGAAGTAACACCAAGTACATAAAATGAGACAAAGAAACGGTCATTCCAGATCCGATATAAGCAAACACAGACGGAAAAAGTATACTTCCGGCTGATGGAGGAGGAGGCCATGATAAAAACGGCACTGCAACCTGCTACCTACAAGCCACCAACACAACCAGCACGACGCACCAGGGCGCAGACATGAAAATTTATTCCGAAGCAGCCGAGGCCCACCATTATCAACATCCAACGAGGGCGCTTCCTGAATCTTCAGGAGTGAAGGGCGATTACAGCGAGTAAGGTTAGGAGTAAAGAAATCCACAAGCCGGTGGCAGATCCATCCATAAGGAACCACACGCGTACGCGAGTGTTGCCGCCTCCACAGGCGACATGGAAGCCCGTTCTATATATCGAATTAGAATAAACACATAATAACCGAACAAATTCATAAGAAATTAATTTTGAACCAACCAATTTCGTAAAGACACCCCGCGAGTGAGGAGGCGAAGGAGGTTAAAGTTTCCTGCGAGGAAACTTTAAAATCCTTCGGGGGGACAGTTGTAACGGGTCAAGTGGTTAACGAGCGCCACTGTACATTAAGACTAGTATTCGAGCATGCGCTGTAATATTTGTAGTGAGTGGGGGGGCCCAAGGAGAGGGGGCCCCAGACCGTTAGCGCGAAGCACCGCGGACAGGGAGCTCTCTTGGATCAGGACTCCGGAATCGCTAGTATCGAAAAACCATCGGCTCACAGATTGTGAGAGTTCATCGGGCACCCTCGATCGCGTTTAAAACAAAGTTTGAAGAGAAGAATTCGGAGTTCTGGCAAACCACCTCGTTAAGCAGCGGTTCGTTCCTCGGTGATCGGGCATTGCCGCCCACGATTCGAGCCGCACGGTGCTCTGACGAGAAGTCGCTCTTTCGAGTTTTGTCCCAAATTCGATGACCGAACATTGCCGCTCACGATTCGATTACGGAGGAGACTCTTAATAAGGGTGAATGCGCTTGATTTGTTTATTTTCAAGTCCGTGTTCCAATGGGTCTGGGTTAGCGACCACGCCCACATCCTATTTCTTAAAATCCTGTCTCTTATAATCCTACAATTTCATCCTCAAAATCGCACGTTGCGATTGATGGCAGAATTCCTAATCCTCAAAGCCTTAACCCAGCCAATCTCCGCGGCTGGATAACATAATTTAAGTGATACTAAAATCCGGAGAAATTAACTCCAGATGAAACATAAATCCGTGGTCGACTTTAGTCCGCGAAATCCATCTTTGAGTGTATTCTTTCAAGTAGGGCTGATCAGCCACCCGAATTAGATATTAGTTTCTCATACGCGTTGTTAATTAACAACATCGCCTTCCAATCCCATGTACTAGGAAGATCCAACGGTTAGAATTTAATTCAAACGCGTCGGTAAGAATTCGACACGTGGGGAAGGGGTACGCGGAGGTCGTGTAGACGGTTGTTAATTCCTATTTGAATTCTACCCCTAACCACCCGTTCCACATAACCTTTACATCCCATGTTTTCATATTCCATGTGGATTCTCTGATGAACGAACAGAACGCACCGATTATGGAATAAGTCGTTCTCACTGAGGGATTCCTTTCCTATCCTTTCCTTCTTGATTTCAACGCATGAGTCAGAGAAAACCCCTTTAATCCAATTAGGACTGCATCGGTTGTAAATCAAAGGTGCCGAAAATCCGAGCATTTTCCCGGAAACTTAAATCGCCAAATTTCACTTAGACGGGACGGCGCCGGAGCGCTTATCCTTAGAAAAACTCGCTCGAACCGGTTCTCGCGGACAGGCCTTCCGAAAGCCACAATATTGACGCGCTCAGCTGATCGTTCGTAAACGCTCTCCTCGCTCTCTCGCCAGTCTCTTTCTATTTCATATATTAGAATGTTTAATTAATTTCTGTCTCAGGAGTCGTGAGGCTCAAACCCTCGACGGATGCAGTTTCTTGCTGCATAGGCACTGACAAAACTGCATACCATTACAACAGTGAAAATAATATGAATTGCTAGAAAATTGATGGTTTAATTTTTCTCAACCTGACCTCAAATACATTATTGTAAAATGTAGTTAAAAGATTGAAGTATGCACAAATTGAACGAATAACGCTGGAAAACCTTAATATAAAAAATAAGTTTATGAAGCAATGAGAAAACCACAGGATTTCTCATTAGGTTTCAAATTTGATTACATGAGTACATTAAACTTACAACAGTAAAAGATTGAACCATAATAGGAGAGAAAACTTTATATTGCGGAACGAATTGACATTTTTGCAATATGATATTACATGCAAGCAGTTGTAGCGTATTTCGCGACGGTGGAGTAGCCCTGTTACAGCCCAAATTAAATTTAAATGACCAATATTTCGTTATATCAATTGTCTGACCAACGTGACGCATGGAGGGAAAAGAGGGGGAGAGGGGCGAGTCATTCGAAAAGCGTTCGAGTCCGTCGACACTTAACCTCAACGGTAGCACGAGGACGGTGCGGTAAGTGGCCTGCATACTTGTGTCCCTCTACATCCGCCCTGGAGGCCGTATGTCCGAGTCAGATAGCCTATTTGGTGCGCTATCCATCGAATAACACGGGACAGACTTATGCGTCCGGGTTTCGGGCCCTGACAAGATATCGCTTTCGCGTTGGCGTCGCCGGCGCGGCGCGGCCGCCGTCTAGGGGCTCTCGAGGGGCATGGCGTTCTCGTTTGCTCCTACGGATCGCAATGGCCTCATGCTTCCATTACCACTCTCAAAACTCCGGTCTCGGGCCTTCCACCCCCTGCTGTAAGTCTCGATGTGGGTTCTCCGATAAACGCATTATTGTCAATGTTTTCACGCCAGCGAAGAAGACTATCTCTCTACCCCGGGCTGCGGTCTCGTCCCTTCGGGAGCGGCGTTCATCGTTGCTCTCTCGTAGATCTTATGCCTTCCGACGGCGTTCTCGCTTGCCGTCGTTCACCCTCGGGCCATATCGCTCCTTCCTTTAGAGGCTCGCAAGGCGGATTGTTATTTAGCAGCGACCGCGATCAAGTAAAACTACTATACTACGAAACTATTTTTTTTAAAGCTAAGATAATATTCAAACTTCGGTTCAGTGGATGGAACAATTGAATCGCTAAGAAACTTGTTAACATTTAATAAAACATATTTTATTATATTCTTTAAAAAATTCTGTAAATTATCATTTAACAAAAACTACGCTAGGTGGGTCAGGGACACTCCACAATAATACTTAAATCATTTTCATTAATTGTTTTTGTTTATAAATATTTATTTTCTTTAGGAAATCCATTATGCCCCTCGAGCGATTCAAGTTCCGCGCTACTCCCGCCGCTAGTACGGTGCGCGGCCAGAGAGAGCAGTGCGAACAGGAGGAATCGACAAAGGCCAGTGTACATCTAGCACTCATGGCGGAAATTCGCTGAAGTGTTATTCGAGGGAAATGTCCTTATTGAGTTTTACAGGACCCAAAAATGTCGACTTTAGTTACTCAACGGCAGCTCCCAGTGGTAGGGTATGAAGTTGACAAGTGTACAACTTTTCCCGGATGGTCCTGTTTTAATTTTTTTTAGTAGTTCGGTGTAACAGTGCTATAAGCGTTGAACGAGTAATGACGGAGGCCATGTTGAACCTCCATAACAGTTTTGAAGGCTGTCAGTGCGGATTTTAACTTATTATTCGTTTTTCTGACAAATAATGTAAAAACCTGGTATCGCAGTGAAAATTATATTTTCGGAAAGCTGTGATTTTATCTATTCAAGTTATTCAAAGAATATCCTGTACAAACATTTTTTGGTGCGAAATTTCCCCGCTTCGGCTCTCGTTGGCGTGAAAGCGCACACAGAGTAAATGATGAATCATTCCCCTTTACGGAAATTTAATTAACGTTGTTATTCTGTAACAGATCGTGTGGCTCGGACTCATACACCCGAGTCCGAGCTATCCGACACAGCGGACAGTACAGCAGGTCCTCACGCCGCCCGACTGCCACGAGCGCTACTCGTGGAAGATAGTATGCACCACGGCCGCTTGTAATTTGCCAAAGCGAGAAAGGTATCCGCAGAGTCACACGAAGGGAAAAAACGTGTTAACATTAAGACTCTGAAACCCGATTCGGCTGACGAGACCTCGAATCGCGTTAAGGGCGATTAACCTCACCGACCGATACCGAATGAGCCGATCCACGGCTGACCTGAACCGTCGCGTCGCCTCTTTTGACTTTCGAATAATAGGACCATCAAATTACCTATTACTTTGATATTTAACCTACTGTATTTTATTAGTTATTAGCATCTAGTATAGGTTATTAAGCGCTATCATCCTTCATTCACTGTACAATAATCATTTCAACAATGAAACTCTACAATGATACTAGTTCACATCTTTCTCGTATGAATTTAGGATTAAGCACGCCATTGCACATATCTGATCTACTTCTTGCTATCACTCTCTCGTTTACAGTTCTTAGCCGCCGAGACTGCCGCCCGATCGCTGACGGTCATGAATCCGGAGGATAAAGTTACATATTATTTACCAAACTATTACGGCTTCTGACTCCACTCAGACATTAAGGCCTTGGAAACACTCAAATGTCTCAAGAGGGTTACTGTTACAGGAAGAGGCCCGAGTTCTATTGTTACAATTTATTAAGAGATCGGCAAAATAAACTGCCCTACTTAAATAAGAAGCTGTAACAAATATTTCTATATGTACGATTGAAACCGCTCTCAATTATATTTAATTTTCGTAATTTATACATCATATATACAACTCTTTTTAATTTCACCTGTTTTCATTAAGTTGCTCAACATATCGTTGACAAGTCGGGGACTGTACGGGATTCTGTTGAGTGTCTCCTGGTTGAGGTGCTGCACTGTTTCCCGGAGCAAGAAATGCGACATTCTCGTTGCCTTCTAATGTATCGGGTTCTATAACGTTAGGTACAGTTTCCTTAAAAGTACTTGGACCTTCTACCTTATATAGAATTTTATGACAAAGTGGGCATCGATCCTGTACATAGAGCCATTTACGTAAGCATACTCCATGGAAGTAATGATTGCAACGTGTTACTTTCGCACTTTGCATTTCCTGATAACAGATGGCACAAACATCGTCCAGTCTGCGTAATTGTTCCACCTTAGCTTCAGGTAAGGAATTTATTTTATTAACCGCAGTACGCCTCTTCATAAAGACACTCCATCCAGCTTTTGCCTCACACCAGATATTAAAGTAAGCATGAATGCACATCATTATTGCCCGAATGGCACCACCAGATTCGAACACTAGTATCCAAAATCCGTTAAAGAATAAGAGTATACCGAAGGCGAATTCTACAGTGTTACCAAATGATCTGATATAGTATACATAATCGTCAAGCCGTTCCCAAAAAGAACTCCGATATGCATCGAATAAAAAAAGTGAGTATATAGCTAATGAAACAAGGACTTTTACTATCACTTCTACACTGAAAACAGATACAGATAATAACCACGTGCTAATAGTGAATTGTGACCACAAGAAGGCAAGTAGAGATACCGGAAATAACACAAGGAACGTGCAAACGGAGAGGGCTCTTATGTGGCGATGAAAAGCAGGATTGTGTGAAGCACTCAGCGACATTAGTAAGGGATTTACTATATTATGTACAAAATGTAAAACTGCAGTGAAGAGTAAACAGAAGTTTCGACAAAGCCGCATAAGTCGTTTTTCTCTGTCTAAACTTGTCAGGCCACTTTGTAAAGCTAGAACATAGAATAAGACAGCGGATATAGTGCCAATACTTTTCTCACCCTCGTCTTCGGTTAATAGAATCCACTGGAAGAAGCAACCTATATAGTGGCACATGAAAGAGATTATACTAGTCATTCCCAGAACTGCGGTTAATGTTTCGCAACCGTTCACAAGTAATGTCTTTATCATTGAGTAGTATGTAAAGGTGTCTTCTTCGTAATGGCTTCCTAATATTTGGATCACTTGTTCGCCCACTCGCAACATCCAAAATGTACGTAACACGCAGGGTACGTTGAGCCGACTCCATTCGGTTTCGGCGAGAGCTGATAAACCATAGTTGCTTATAAATCTGCGAGCATGTTGATAGCCAGAGTAGATAGTTCTTAACATGGTGCTGCCATTATACCAGATGATGAACTTGCACAAGGCAAGAGGAAGAAGTGTAGCGAAAACAGGAGCGTGATACAGAACCATAATCTGAAAAGCCACCAAAAAGATTTATTTAGAATCACATTTTAACTGATTAAGACAAAATTATGTAAAATTTCAATACAACGGAATTTACTATGATGCATTCGTTATATCCATAAGTTACGTAACAATTATTTTCTGTGTAATCTATTATGCACTGTGATGTGGTGGATTCTGGGCCACACGTCCTATGGATTTCTGAGGTCCAATTACACCTCTTTGGCAGTCCTCATATGACGCTCGGGTCTGGCGATCCCCGACCCGCGAGAAAACCTCGCCGATTCGCGTTCATTAATTTATTTTTCTGTGTACTATTTGTCGATTTATCCTTTTGATTATTTTTTTCATTAGGTATTGTAACGGGTCCAAATTAAGAGTGCACGAGACTGTACTATGGCCATTATTTTGGTATACGTAGAACATGCGCAATTAGGATGGCGTAAGAGTAAGGAGGCTTCGGGAGAGGGAAGCGCGGCACACAAGCGCGGAGCATCGCGAGAGAAGACATTAAGTCTGGGATATCGATCGTATAACGATCGACGGCTTTTCAGGAGAGCAGGACTCCGGGATCGTTCGCATCGGGAAAGCATAAGCTCTGAAATTGTGAGACTTAATCGGATACACGCAATCGCGCTTAAAACAGGTTTTGGGTAGAAGTAGTCGGAGAACTGCGAAATCACCTTCTTAAGAAACTGTTCGTTCCTCGGTGACCGAGCATTGCTGCCCACGATCCGAGCCGGACAATTCTCTGGACGAGAAGTCGTTCTGTAGAGTTCCATCCCAAACTCGATGACCGAGCATTGCCGCTCTCGATTCGAGTACGGACGAAACTCAATAAGAACAAATGAGTTTGATTTGATTATTTTCAGGTCCGTGTTCCAGTGGGCCTGGCATAGCGACCACACCCACATCCTATTTTTTTAAAATCCTGCCTACAAAATCCTACACTTGTATCCTCCAAATCGCACGGTGCGATTAACAGCAGAATTCCTAATCCTCAAAACCTTAACCCAGCCAATATCCGAGACTGGATAACATAATTTAAGTGACACTAAAACCCGGAGGAATTAACTCCGGATGAAACATAGATCCGTGGTCGACTTTAGTCCGCAAAACCAATTTTAAGTACATGGTTTCAAGTAAGGCTGATCAGCCACCCGAATTAGGTGCTAATTTCTCACACCCGTTGTTAATTAGCAACATTGTATTTCAATCCCACGACGTTAGGTTTTAATTCAAACGCGTCAGTAAGGACTCGACACGTGGGGAAGGGGAACGCGGAGATACGCGTGGACGGTTGTTAATTCCGATTCGAATCCTACCCCAAACCACCCGATCCAAATAACCTTTACATCCCATGATTCCATATTCCATGTGGATTCTATGATGAACGAATAGAACGCACCGATAATGGAATACGTCTTTCTCACTGAGGATCGTTTCCTTTCCTTTCCTTTCCTTTTCGTATCTAAACGCGTGAGTCAGGGAAAACCCCCTTAATCCAATTAGGGCTGCACCGACTTTAAATTGAAGGGGCCGGAAATTCGAGCATTTTCCAGGAAATTTAAATCGCCGAATTTCACTCAGACGGGACGGCGTTGGAGCGCTTAGCCTTAGAAAAACTCGCTCGAACCGGTTTTCGCGGACAGGCCTTCCGAAATCCGAAATATTGACAAGCTCAGCTGATCGCTCGTGAAACGCTCTCCTCGCTCTCTTGCCAGTCTCTTTTCTTTCCTATTTTTGAAATTTAATTAAATTCGGTTTCAGGAGTCGTGAGGCTCGAACCCTCGAAGGATGCAGTTTTTCGGTGCATAAGCACGGTCAAAACTGCATACCATTACAGTATCTACCCCATTAGAGCTCTCGAGTCGCGTCACTCGAGATGCTTCTTTTCCTTTTCCCTTTGTCAGGTTTTGAATATTGCGTGGAATACTCTAGAAACGTTGTAGCAAGTCTTAAAGCGACGTCAAGTTCGCAAAGTAAACTGCGCTGACCTCCTACGGGTCGCGGGGACGTCGCCGCTCGCCGCTCCAGTTGCCATGGAGCGGCGGTGGAGACCGGCGACTGGAACAGGGACGACACTACCGAGGGGAGGGGCCACGGTCCGTCCGTCGGGTCCCCGGAGGGGCGCCGGCCGACCCCATCTTTGCTACCCTGGCGGCTCTGTATGCGGGGACGGACCTTCGGTTGGTCTTGGCGGCCAAAAGTAGGCCGCTCGCAGGAGGAACATGATTACCCGGGCAAGAGCCGGGCCAAGGGACATGGTCTGGGCATTTTCCCCGGTCTCGATCGGCACGTCGGCGGAAGGATCCCGCGTCTTGGGAATTCCCTCTCGCGGCCAAGTTACAGCGATAGGGGGCGGGCAAAAAGGTTCGGGACGCATGTGCCCAGCACCCGGGACGGCTGACGTCCGGGCCAAGAGCCGGACATGCTGCCGCCGAGAGACCCGGGGTTTGCTGAGGTCTGCCCCTAGTGGACCGGGGAACCCCAGAGAGAAATTTTAAGCGGCCGCTCGAGGAAGATAGAGGCGCACCAAGGGCCCTGACGGACCTACCGCCAGCTACGGCCGTGGACCCCGAAGAGCACGTAGCGCGCGAGAGGTGCGCGCCGCCGTCCTTGCTATTACCGTCACACCCCGCACGACAATTTTTAGAAATCGGACAACAACGGAGGGCCTGTAGCCAATCATCGCGCGTCAAGTCGGATTCTGGAGTGGCCGCCCGAAATCCTTTATCCTGCTGGACACCAGGAGCTCCAGCCTTGTTCGCCTTCGGACCGTCGGACCCGACGCATAACCGAACATCATCCTGGAATTTTCAATACCGTTTTCTGAGATAAGTCGCGAGTGCCTGAAGCCCCACACTGTCACAATCCGGATTTTCACCCTAGAAGAGGAGAAGGCATGAGAGGAGCCGGTGAGCGGCGGCGAAAACCCTTCGGCAAAGTAAGTGCCCGTGTTCCAAAATTTGGGGAGCCCATTTTTGAGTTCTTGATGTCTTGATACAGTAGTTTTCCTTTAGAGTCGGAACAGGATGATTGCCTGATTTTCTCTGGATTTCTCTCTCACAGGGTTTTCTGATTTTCTGAGTGCGTTAGAGTTTTCTAAGCCACGGGTTAAAGAGCGACTTTAGTTGGCGCCCGATTTCCTGCCTTATTTAAAGTTACATGGTGGCTTTTTCCTCTTGTGTCAACAAATTGGTAGACCATATTTTTGTAATGATTCCTGGTGGATGGTAAGTCTCGTGTCGGTGACAGGAATGGTTATCGCACACATGGTCGTTCCAAGCGTCGCGCGGGCGAACACCTTTCTTACGAGTAGAGTTAATCTTCAAAAAACACCTTCGGTGTAAAAAAAACTTTGCCAAATACATTTTTATTTCCGACTTCAATTACAAAAATAGCTCTACAATGGAAATCAATTATCTTTGCCAAATACAATAGTACTTTCATACTATTAAGACTCTAATCAGTTATTTTTTCCAAATGTCATAGTATAT